TACGCAGAATACACGTACATACATACATACAAGTGTACATACGGCCATAGGTGCATATGTATGTACACCAAAAATATGTTTAAAAAAAGGCAGGACAATTTTCTCAAAAATGTTCAATTAGTAAAAATAAAATTCTGTAGTCGAAAGCAGTAGTTTGGAGCTCTTCATTGAAAAAGTTAAAAGGTACATCAGGAAGAATTTAGTGCAGAATTAAGGATGATGACTCAAAAACTTCAGGACATATTTTCTATTACTCTCCGACCTTAGCCAGAAAAGGATTATTTGCTTTTAAATCGCCAATGGTCGAACTCTTTGTAATAAAGAATTCTCCTGTCAAGACCCTTTTAGGGTTCATTAGGGAAGCCGAAGGTATTTTGGGGATTCTTGATGGGTTCTCTCCTTGAGAGATGCAAAATAAATTTCAGGCCGCAGTGTCTCCTGTTCTGTTCCACCTAAGTCTTAACTGTCATCGGTGATGTTAATGCTGACCTTGTATCACGCTTGACAGAAGAATTTACTTTTAAATTGCAAGGTCAGAATTAACATCAGTGATGACAGGTAAGATCCAGATGGGTTCTAATATCACAAAGTTATTTTTGTGAAAATTGCAGATAGAGGCTATTGAATATAAGCCCTCGATATGTAAAAGCGCGAAGTCAAACTATGACTAGAAAAAAAAACTAAATTCACCGCTGGTTAGAGCTTCGCGTCCGCTTATGGGAGATTTTTTTCATAACTAGACATTTTTGAGTGCCTGTGTCCATTTAGCGGAAAGTCCGTGCAAAGGAGAGCATTTTGTATAAAAAAAAAAATTTAATAGCATGTAGTCTGGTTACGTGACGAAAAATGGAAGTTTATTTTTTCTTTTCTTACAAAATCACAAAACTCTGCGAACTGTGGATGGCTCTTTTCATGAAACTTGTTTTAATATGATTTAGAGTAATTCTAGTTATTTTAAGAGTTTTTTAAAATTAATGCAACTTGTTTCAATTTTCTTTTACAACCCCAAGTGTGAATCGTCACACGACGCCACGTCCATCGTCATATGTTTGTTAATATTGCTTTTAAATGAATTTTCAAAGCAAATAAAACATTCTAAATAAATGTTTCATAAATATTCTAGGTAAGCTATTTTATAGCCTATTTTTGTGGGATTAAGTGCGTGTTTCAAGGGGCTAAGAATTAGCGTTGATTTTTAATATTTTTTTTGCTGACCTGTTGCGGTTGGACCGACACTGGTTTCTTTAAATACTTTATATCAGTGTACGAAAATAAACTATATTGTACGTTACTATATCGTTTCGTTTATTACTTCAACAGTTCGGTACAATACGAAAACAAAACGGCTGAGTTCACTTTGCGATAGTACACTACAGTAGTTTAGTAGTTACAGACGAAACAACAAACGAAATGAATCGTGCAGAGAAAAATATATGTATGTATGTAGTACATGTTTTTTAATTGAATTGGATATCAAAATTTACAGAAAAAAATATATTTCACGTAATTGAAACGTTTGCATACATATAAAACGTACAATATGGTACAATTGTCACAAACGAAAAGCAAACGTTTCTCGTTGGGGAAAATGACAGTGAATCTTACAAATTGTTTCTGACTATGTACAAAACCACAAATGATATGATGATCGATGAGCAAATGGGAATTGTTTTGTACAGTTTATTTTCGTACCCTGCTTTATATATCAAATATATATAGCTTAATTTATATAATATGTATTTGATTATAGAAATTTCCAATATAATCAATAAGGTGGTTTTTTTACATAAGTTCAGTTTTTGCAATACGCCATTTTTGAAATCCATGCCTTGGTTTTCGAGATATTTGGACTTAAAAAAATTCAGAATATTACCTTTGTTAAGAGAAATTATACCGTTTTACTTGCCTCAACAACTTTTATCGACGTCCATATACTACATACTTTTTTAAAATACTTTTTGTACTGTTATTTTTATTTACTTGTTCCAAAAAAACTAATACAATAACTAATTTGTATTCATTGGTTGCCATCTAACTTTTAATGATGTCGTTGATTACGTCATCGTGATTAATTTGCCTCGAAACGTCATTTTTGCTGGTCAGTAAGCTGGGTTTTTATCAGCTTCAGTTTAGAAAATGACCTTTCAGCTTAACTGCTGGTGACCATGAGAGGTTTATTCTTTATGGAACTTCTTCATTTTCGTATATCTCTAACAATTTTTTACTTACTGCTAGCATTTCTTAATCACCGACCATATCCAATTTGTTGAGAAGCTTATGTACAAGTTTTTAGGCCTAAATTCTCCTCCTTCTTCTTCTTCTTCTTTTTTGGCGCTGTAACCGCCTAAGCGATTTTGGCCGATTTCAGCAAAGCACGCCAGTCATTTCTCCTCTGTGCCAACTGACGCCAATTGGAAACGCCAAGTGAAGCCAAGTCCTTCTCCACCTGATCTTTCCATCGCAGTGGGGGCCTCCCTCTTCCTCTGCTACCACCAGCGGGTTCCGAGTTGAATACTTTCAGAGCTGGAGCGTCGGTGTCCATTCGAACGGCATGGCCAAGCCAGCGGATCCGCTGTATTTTAATTCGCTCTACTATGTCCATGTCCATCGGCGTAGCCAGAATGAAATTTAGGGGGGGCTCGACCCTATTAAGCTGGCATTTCAGGGTACTATTTTATATATATATAAGGAAAATTGTAAAGTTAGGGGGGGCTCGAGCACCCCCCTGCCCCTACCTTGCTACGCCCATGTCCATGTCGTTGTAAAGCTTATACAGCTCATCGTTCCATCGTCTGCGGTACTCGCCGTCGCCAACGCGTAAAGGCCCGTAAATCTTCCGCAAAATTTCTCTCAAACACTCCAAAAGCCGCCTCATCGGATGTTGTCATTGTCCATGCTTCTGCGCCATATACCAGCACGGGCATGATGAGTGACTTATAGAGCGCGGTTGTCGTACGTCGAGAGAGGACTTTACTCCTGAATTGCCTACTCAGTCCAAAGTTTCCTTCTTAGTACGAAGTATTACCACCAAAACTTGGAAAGTTTCAAAGGGAATGAAGAAAACGATTGTTTGTCAATCTGAGTTGAATGTAAAACCTTTGGAGCATCACATCGCGTAAAGTTGATAGGATTGCAGACATTCTTCCAACGTCGGATAGGAGAAAAGAAGAAATTCCGCGATTTTGAGAGAAAAAATCGACAAATGTCCTGCGAACTTCGCGCGGATGCCAAAAAAAAAAATAAAAATTAATTTATAAATTAAAGATGGAGAAACTCCAATCTCTTGTCCACACTTAATTTAAGGTACCTTCATTAAATTTTATTGCTTACTGAATAAAAATCTAAAATTTTAGCTTGTAAATATGTACAAGGATTGTTCCCACCAAACTGTGTAACGTTATTCTCCGTTAAATTTAATGAATGAATAATTTGCTAAGTCCCAGAGAAGCACCGAAAATCCTTATCGGCCAAAATGTACGAAATATTTCAATAAAGATCGAATTCCCCTTATTCGCACGGAGCTTTGCTTTTCAAAAAATACCATCAAAGACTTTTAGAGACTTAAACCGAAATATTAAAAGTATGTACATTGTAAATGCATACTACGTTGCGAAGCAAAGTAACGATACTTTAAAATTTACATATACATATGTAAATATGTAGAGATGGTCCGAGTTTGCATAGCCTTTGAATAGCTGTAGTGGTATTGCCACCTTTCGCAAATGCTCTAAAACAAAGTTTAACACCCGATAGATATTGTTCAAGGGAATTGTGTATGTATTATGTAACGTTCGGAGAGTCTGGGGAGGACATCTCATGTTATTTACTAACTAAGTATTTAAGAGAAATGTTAATGGTTATACGACTCTTTCAATTTCAAAAGAGAGTTAAAAACGATTTTAATTTTCAGAATTTTCTGTTCCTTCTCTTACAGAATGCGCTACACGAGATTAACTTTGAAACGTTTGTATGGCAAGGAAATCGCTCTTTGTCCACAATTGCGCTCTCCAGTCTTCGGCCACCAGCCACCACCGCACTCCATACGCAGCCACCTAAGTTTCAACCTCCGTCAGTTGCTGCATCGCTCACACTGTTGTTTGCTCTGCTTGTGGCTATGGCTATGTGGTCACAGTTGTTTTGATAAATAAATGTGGATGCGACTGTGTCTGTGGCTATGGCTGCGGCTTGGCTTTGGCTTCTGCTGCCGTCGCTCCAATCCACCTCTCACCGGCTACCCAACCATCCAAAGCGCACTGAATGAGGGGCCTTTGGAGACGTAGTGGTTTAGCTTTTCGCTGCTGCCTCATTCGGACGGCAGTTTTGGTAGTCGCACAGCACAGCAGACCGGTCGTCCACAACTGCATTGCCAGTAGTCGCTCCAGTGGCTTGCGACTCGCCGACTCGCCAGTTCTAATCTAAATGTACGCGCTCAGCTGTCTGCGCACTCAACCACCAGCAGGCGACCGACCGCAAAGACTTTCAGCATCAGCACGACGGAGCAGTTGAGCTCCAGCAAAAAAGCAAAAAGCATCTGTACGCGGTGTGTTTCTTGGCTGTCGCACTGCATAGATAATAATACGCAGCACGGTACGTAACCGCGGCGTTCGCACAATAAACAGACAGACAGAAAGGTAGGCAAGCAGACAGACAGACACAGCACGGTACGGCAGATACGGGAACGGAACGTTGTTCGCATCGCGTGGAGTGCCGCCGAAGTTCGAATTGATTTGCCGTCGCAAAAACGCAAATATTTATTGGTGCTAACAAAAAAAATTACAAAAAAAAAAATTCAAACAAAAAAAAGTTTAAGATTTATTATTGGATTCCAAGGAGTGTATTAAGTGTAATTTAATTCAACTAATAATAAAACAGACAGTTTACAAAATTCGCAAAACTTGCATATTTTTTGCTTTTTTGTTTGTGAAAATAATCAGTAAATTATCGCTGAAGGGAACGTAGGTTGCTCTTCCACCAAATATTTATGTGAGGATTAAAAATGAAAAAATTTAAAAGTTATCTTGAAAAAAATCGTATGAAATAAGCGCCGTTACATGCGACACCATCAGCGTTGTTGGAAGTGCGCTACCGTCATGCCATTGTCGCTCGCAAAATCAACAACAGGAACAAAAACATTGAGCGCTCAAAAACGTCCCCTAAAGAGTCACCAATGCCGCCCGAGAATGCAGCCAGCAACGACCAAACGGCCAGCTATAACTCCAGCCACAGCAGCGCAAAAAGGCTCCCTCCCTACAACCACCCATCCATCCACCACTACATCAGCGACAGCGTCGTAAACCTGCTGCGCCAATGACGACGCTCTTGGTGTCCTCACCAGCCACCCCATTGCCGACGTCGTCACCGTCATTACAGCACTTTTTCGCCCAATGTTGGTTGGTTGGTGACTCTTTTTTTTACATTTCTTCTTAACTTTGTTGTTATTCCAGTGTTTAGTTGGATGGGTTGTTGGTGTTGTGGAGTCGAGTGGTGTGGTGGGATGTGAGTTTTTTACTCGCTTCGCTCACCGGGTCTCTGCCCCAGTCGTTGCTGCGCTGCCGTCGCCACTGTCGCCACTGCTGCTGTCGCAGTTGTCGCACAGGCATTTTTATTTAGTTTTTTATTTCGTCTTCTCTTCGTAATTTTGTCGTCGAGTGTCATTGGTTGAGTCGCATTGGCTTGTGCTGTTGTTGTGCTTTAGTAGGTGGATGGATATACATTTGTATGAATGTGTACGGACACCGTTGTTGCCTTGCCTTGCCGGGCGCTGGGTGCTGTGCGAAGGGTGTTATATATTTGAGTTTAGTGAGCGTCGATGGGTTTGCGCGTGTGTGTGTGTGTGTGTATGTGGGTGCATTTGTGTGCGTATATAAGCGATAAAGCCGTGCGAATGCGAGCAAATTCAACAACAATTCAAAGGTTTATGGGAGTGTAAATGAGGATATGTGCATGTATGCGTGTGTAGGTGCATCGGCACCGCAGCATAGGTGTATGCGTGTGTGTGTCAACGACTGGTTGGCTGAGTGTGAGTGGTGGCGAGTGAGTCCGGTCTGGTATTGCACAAAAGTCGCGAAATTCAATGGCGACACAGCAGCGATTCGGTGACGACGACTACGACAATTGGCGATGAGAACGAGAACGACGATACGATAATGTTGCCAATGACCGCTGCGTTTGTTGTTGTGTGCCTGTTGTTGACGGTGCCTGCGGGCAATTTTTCGAGTTTGGCTTCCACCAACGGCAGTGGTTTGCAGAATTCCGCGAAACGTTTAACGTAAAAAATATTAGAAAACAAAAACAGAGATAACAAAAGTTAAACAAACACCAACTAATAAGTGTGCGGTTATAGTAAATACGGTGTTTTTGCTACAAAGAAGGCATTCGATTATTTTCTCTTTTCGATAATTGCAGCTAATTGGGATATTCAGCAAATCAACAGCAAACAAATTAACGGGCTGGAGGCATTCATATGTGTGAACTGAAGCAGATAAAAATTAAATAATGAAAAACAAAAGAAAGTTAAATTCATAGTTATAACCAAAAAGTATACGAAATACTACTTTTTATGAAACATCTGTATGCCAAAATGGCGGATCAATGTTTCCATATTACTTCAAAGAAACATAAATGGTTTGTTTTTTTTAGAAATCAAGGAGAAACATTGGTGTACGTAAATTTAATTCACTAAATAAAAACCAAACCTCTCAAACGATTCAATATTTCATCAACGAAGTCAGACGCAGAGAATCCATAAAAAAATATTCCGAAAACAGTTTTTTCAAAAGTGCTTGCTTGGAGATCGGAACTAATCAGGAAAGAGTACTGATGTGCAGTGCTTGAAGGCAGCTTCGCAAAATTTCGTATAAAGGAAGAAAGATAATTTTTTGAAGGTGAGTTAACGTTAAGAACTCAAACTAATTTAAATATGTGTGTATTAGATGGCAGAAACATAAGTGTAATTAAAATTTTAATGAATAGATACATATGTAGGTATGTATATGTATTAATAAATTGTTGGACCGGAAGCCGTTACGAAATATATGTATATACATATCTATGTATGTATAGATAAAGTAAGTGGAAAAATAAATTTGTCATAGATAAAGAGATAACTGAAAGCAATATACAGTTAGTTGTTTGCAAACTAGATATGTATCTAAAATAAAAATTTACGAAACCATAATATTATCTACCTATAATATAATAAAAATCTCGTTGTAAAATCTTGTATAGTCTTCGCATAGGAAGTCAATATGCATCTCTTGTTTTCCATTTTGGGAGCAAATTAAAAACTTCAAATGCGTCTCCTGAAAAATACCGTTTTTTGAGTTATGACAGTATTTTAGTAAATGAGCGATATGTAAAAAAGATATACATATTTAATGTGTAGTGGGCACTCATGGTACAATAATTACAGGTATTGTATTACCAGAGAATTTTGCTTCACATCGAAATTCGTGCTCCCTTTCGGCCATACCGAAACAACGCGGCGTCAACGCTGAGCGGTTGGAAAATCCGATTTTGACAGGGCGTTAGGTAGATATTGAAGTTGGCTGCAGAAAACGGCGAAACTGTCATTTTCGTGTTACACACAAACAAACCTATGCTTATTGTTGGTGTTTTTTTTTTGCATTTGACGTGTAGCTTTGACGCTTTTGATTAGGTATGACACTTCGGCGCTAACGCTAGGCGTCAGAAACCGCTCCGCCCAACGCTTTTGTTTAGGTATGGCAGTTATTTTCATTTTGAAGCAGTTCAATGTTGATTGTTTTACTTTTATTTAACTTTGCTTTTTATTTTCGCTCAATTTAATTTCTATAATCTAGTGAGCCATACAAATTTTGAATTTATTAACTAAGGAAATATTTTTTTTTCGGATTTTGCAAAATAAATAAGTCCTCTGCAAGAAGGTTTGTTTAGAAAAATACGTGTACATATGTGGCATACGGGGTATGGAAATAACCCTTTTCCCTAGCAGTAAACCTTTTAGTTTGGACAACAGTGATGTTTTTCAAATTAGGCAGATCGGAATATGCGCTCTCTGCGAAGACAATACCTGTAAATAGTGAGCCATGGTGGGCACTGGCATCATTTCATTACCCATGCCTACCTTGACAACTTCATTTTTCCACCCACTGTGCATTATTTTGTCCCCTTCAAATTTGGGACAGAAATTTTCAAAATTTTCGTGAAAAATTCAAAAATATGGCGATCCTTTTTCTGGTACTCCCACATGGGTCAAAAATGGTTATGAGAAGCTATTGTGAAAGCGATTACATACCCCTAAGATCTCAATAATATGGTTTAATGAACAAAACTAAAACCAGACCCCATGTACATATATTTGTTGTTTCTTGCAATAATCGCTTAAGTCAAGATAGGAACTTAGGGGTAACACCGAAAAATAAAATGAAATAAAATCTTCGCTTAGTGTTTGTATACACATTTATTAATAAAAATTACAACCCTACAAATAAAACTTCACCAAAAAACTGTCTAAAGTGAAAAAAATTCTAGGTATTTGTGTGAGTATAGTTTAAATTTCAGTGCGATAAATCCTTAGAAGGAAAAATAATATATGTGACCAGCGGTGCAGATTCTTCGACTTTTAGGAGTTTTTTTGTAACACTGTCCAGTGTAATGGACGCTGAATAATGGTCAACATACCTACGTGCTTTATAAAATTTTTGATTTCATTTTTGAAAAGAACGATCCAAAATTAGACAGTATATATGTATGTGTACATATACGGTACGGTGGTTTTGCATTTGTATTAGTTATTTTACCTTTTTTTTGAAATGCATTTGAAACTTTGAATCGTAAATTCGCCTGTACTGTGCGTATAAGGTACACGAACATTAAAAAGTGATTTTCTCCAGTAAAAATGCTCCATTGCGGCTGCAATAATTAAATTCACTATGCGTGAAATTTATTGAATTTAATTATGCAATTACACGCATCTCGAAAACTTAACGCTCAATAAATTCTATTGCGCACTTGAAATGGAACTCCATGCACACCCAACGGTATTTATGTGAATGTACGATCGTACGAAAAAATCTTTAATGTACCCAATAAAACTAGAAATGGCAAAAATAAATATTCAATAAATACGCACAAATCAATATAAATAATATCTACGAACGATGCACGGAAAAATGGAAATAAGGCCAGGAATTCTCGCAAATATATGCATATCGCAAACTCACTTCAAGGATGACACAACTCTAAATTTGTCATTTTTGAAATTATGCGCTAACAAGTAATTTTCAGCAAAAAAAACCGACTTCAACTCTCATATAAAAAAATATATATATATATATCTCATGATCAACTGATCGGATCTTAACCAGATAAGTATGGAACCACCTCTGAGACACTACCTTTCCGATGCAAAAAGAATTATCGAAATCGGTTGACGTGGTCCAAAGTTATGCGGTAACATACATAAAAAAAAAAATCCGATGAACTGATAACCTCCTCCTTTTTTGGAAGTCGGCTAAAAATGTTCACAGACCTTTTATGTATTTACCTTCCAGTAAAGTTTGAAACAAAATTGTGTTGTAATTTGTTGAAAAACCCCTAGGTATTTTACCTTCCATTATAATTAATAAGAAATAAGTTATCGAATTTTCTGACAAACGCCTAATTTGAGTATGTAGATCCAGATCCAAGTGACCAAGTGTGTTTGAATGAAAAGAAGTCCGGTAAATTACCTAAATTAATGTTTCTTAAAATAGAAAAATAATACTCGAAAAAAGTTTGTAGTTTAAAGTTTTTTTTCTCAAAAGCTCTAAATTGTTCAACTGGAAAGAAAAAAAAATCCACACAATTTGTCTGAAATATTAAAAATATCTTCTACTAACTATGAGTTTTCAAGCCCTTTGAGCAGGGGCCGTAACGGTTATGATCTTCAAAATGAAAGTAAAAATTTAACCGTGAAAAAAGGATTTCTATTTTTCCGACCACATCAAACCGTTATTTTGAGATTGAATTTTTTAGACAATATAAAAAAAGAGGAAAAAAGTCAAAGTTCCGACGAAGCCGAACACGCACGCATAAAATATAGTTTCTTCATCTTTCCGAAAGCTATCATTAGATGCTAGACCACCCCTGGGTTTTCCCCTATTTCAGTTAGACTTAATGAGGTAAAGTCCTGTATATAGTTATGAGAGGGCCCTACCACGTCCATTTTCCAAAATTCCACAATAATGTTATTTTTTGGCAAGGGAGTTTTTGAAGTGTCAATTTTGGGTAAGTTAGCGTCCTTAAATTTTGAAAAACCGAAGTTTAAGAATTTCTGAAAATTACCGTTATATAAAAAGTGAGCCTAATTTTAGTGATGCCGTGCAATAAAGCCGTAGGAAATAACGCCATATGACTTTATTTCACTTTACATTGAGTAATAAAGCCATGTTTAATATTAGTCGCGGAACGCATAAAACCCTTGGAGACCAACATCGATGAAGGATCATTTGCTTAAAATAAAAAAAATTGGCACAAGACATTTATTTATTAAAATATTTTATTTAACTTTTCATGTGGTAATGTACATATATACATTGTTTTGGTCAAATCTTGCTATAAATTTTTATCCAAAATCCCTGAAACCTTTAACCTAGCTCAGAACCAGGTGACAATGTAATAAAAAAGATGAATTAGTCCGATAGGTGGCGCATTAGTCGAGATATTTTATTTTACGATTTGGTTCATAGTTAGAATGTATTCTTCTTCTTATTTGGCGCTGTAACCGCCTAAGCAATTTTTAATTGATTTCAGTTCAACAAAGCACGCTAGTGGTTTCCCTTCTATGCCAACTGACGCCAATTGGAAATGCCAAGTGCCTCCCATTGCAGTGGGGTCCTCCCTTTTTCTCTGCTACCTCCAACGAGTTCCGAGTTGAATAATTTCAGAGCTGGAGCTCCGGTGTCCATTCGAACGGTATGGCCAAGCCAGCGGAGCCGCTGTATTTTATTTCGCTGTACTATGTCATCGTTCCATCGTCTGCGATGCGTACCGTCGCCAACGCGTAAAGGGCCGTAAATCTTCCGCAAAATCTTTTTCTCGAACACTCCAAGAGCCGCCTCATCGAATGTTGTCATTGCCCATGCTTCTACGCCATATACCAGCACGGGCATGATGAGTGACTTATAGAGCGCGGTTGTCGTACGTCGAGAGAGGACTTTACTCCTGAACTGCCTACTCAGTCCAAAGTAGCACGTGTTGGCAAGAGTGATTCTGCGTTGAATTTCCATGCTGGCATTATTATCGATGTTAATGCTGGTTCCCAAGTGAACGAAATTCTCTTCTTTCTCGAAATTATAACTGTCAACAGTGACGTCGGTGCCAAGGCGCGAATGTGCTGACCGTTTGTTTAATGACAGAGATACTTCTCGTCTTGTCCTCGTTTAACATCGCCATAAGCCAGCAATTGCACGCTCTTGTAGTAAATTTAGAATGTATGTATGTACATATATTACCTACATGAAAGGAAATAATTCTAGGGTCGAAATATCCCTAAACTTGTTTAAACAAATTTTTAAAATTTTTATTTGAAATTCATTTAGAAAATTAAAAAAAATATTTAGTTATTGGGAAAGACACCAACACTTTTCTGGTCCCACGATCGCGGTACTAATTCACGCCAATCTTAAGGCAAATGTTCAGTCATGTGAACCGGCCATTAGAACGAATTTCCATTATTCAATCTAATTTTTCATATTTCTCCAATATTTTGAAGCTTGCCGTTACAAATCATCATCGACTCATCCTCCCTGATTCATACCTTCAGACCTTTTTTTAGACATCAAATATCGAAAATATTAATTGATTTCATCTGGCCGAGCTCCGACTTCTAGTAAAGCCTATATACCTATACCCCTCCTTTTCG